TTCTTAGGGAGTTCTGCTCGAGTTTGCGGGGATCGGGCTTGCGGGGTGCTGAAAACACACAGGGAACGGCGGGGTTGTGTGGCAAGTGGGAAGACGGCCCTCACTCTTAAGACGCACAACTCCGCCGTTCCCTGTGTGTTTGTGGTACCCCTTCCCCCCACTCCACACAAAAATAAACTCAAAATGCATTAAAGACTTAAATGTAAGACTGGAAATTATAAACTCCTAGAAGAAAACATAGGCATCAAAATCCCTAACATTTAAAAATATTTTTTTTTCTGTTATATCTCCACGAGTAAGAGAAACAAAAGAAAAAAGAAACAAATGGGACTACATCAAACTCAAAAGTGTTTGCACAGGACTGTTACTTAGTTGGTTACACCCTTTCTTGACAAAACCTAACTTGTGCAGAAAACGAGATGAGATTGGCATGGCTTTGTTTTTTGTTTGCTTGTTTGTTTTTTGCACTTGGCTCAGATTTAAAAACTGGAACAGTGAAGGTGACAGCAGTCCGTCGGAGCGAGCATCCCCAGAGTTCTCCAATGTGGCTGAGGACTCTGATTGTACATTGTTCTTTTTTTAAATAGCCATTCCAAATACGAGAGATGCATTGTTACAGGAAGTCCCTTGCCTGCCCTAAAGCCGCCCACTTCTCCCTAAGCAGGGCCAGTCCTCGCCCAAGTCCACACGGGGAGGGTGATAGCATTGCTTTTGTGTAAATTATGTAATCCAAAACTTTTAATCTTCGCCTTAATACTTGTTCTTTTTGTTTTATTTTGAATGGCCAGCCATTGTGGCCCCCCTTTTGTCCCCAACTTGAGATGTATGAAGGCTTTTGGTGCCCCTGGGAATGGGTTGAGGTGAGGAGGCAGCCAAGCAGGGCTTACCTGTACACTGACTTGAGACCAGATCAATAAAGTGCACACCTTAAAAAAAAAAGGTTTTGTACAGCAAAGGAAACCATCCACAAAATGAATAGATATCCTAATAATTGGGATGGAGGTTCCTCAAAAAATAAAAAATGATACTGCCTTATGACCCAGCAATTCCACTTCTGGTTATATATCTGAGGATACCCAAAACACTAATTCACAAGGATATATGCACCCCTATGTTCATTGCAGTGTTATGTGCAATAGCCAAACTAAGTGCCCATCAATAGATGAGTATAAAAAACTGTGTGTGTATATGTGTATACATATGTGTATATGTATACACATATACACACACACATATATATATATATTTATGGCTTGGTCATAAAAAAAGAATAAAATCTTATCATTTGTGTCAGCATGGCTGGACCTGGAAGGTATTATGCTAAGTGAAATAAGTCACATGGAGAAAGACAAATACCAAATAATTTCACTTATATGTAAACCAGAAGTCCGGTGCATGAAATTTGTGCACTGGGGGGGGGGGGGTCCCTCAGCCCAGCCTGTGCCCTCTCACAGTCCGGGACCCCTCACTCCTTACCGCCCACCTGCAGCAGAGGTGGGAGAGGCTCCTGCCACCACCACTGCACTCGCCAGCCATGAGCCCGGCTTCTGACTGAGTGGTGCTCCCCCTGTGGAGCACACTGACCACCAGGGGGCAGCTCCTGCACTGACCATCTGCCCCCTGATGGTCAGTGCATGTCATAGCGACCGGTCGTTCCACTGTCCAGTCTATTTACATATTACATTTTATTATTCAGGATTCTCAAGAACAAAATAAAGGAATAAATGAAATGAAACAGACTCATAGATGCAGAGAAAGACTGATGGTTGCCAGAGGGAGGAGGGTTTGGGGATTGGGTGAAAAAGTAAAGGGATTAAGAAATACAAATTGGTAGTTACAAAATAGTCTTGAAATGTAAAGTACAGCATAGGGAATATAGTCGATAACATTGTAAAATCTATGTAGGTACTTGAAATATGGAGGGGACCACTTTGTAAAGTTTATGATTGTCTAACCATTATGCTGTACACCTGAAGCCAATACGAAATAATATTGAATGTAAACTGTTATTGAAAACTAAAATTAAAAAAAAAGAAGGGTTTAGATGGAGAAGGCAGGGTCTGGATTAGTATCTGACATATATGGTACTCAACTATTTGTTAGATAAATGAATGATTTGCTTGCATTTTTATGCAGTGACTTTCAAGAGCCAATCTATGGCTCACTGATGATCTTTTCACCAGGCAAGAACAAATGAGGAAAATAAGGACTATAAAGTGAATTTTCCAAAAAGCCAACTTTATTTCATTTAAGAGATTTGTTAATTCACCTGACAAGTTACTTACCAATTCCAAAGGAGAAATAATTTCACAGTGGAGAAACCTAGTTGCCTCCATTCCAACCAAGTGACCAAAATTAACATCTCTCAAAATAGGACACACAAATGTCATGTGCCTCTTGATGTGATATACTGAGAAAAGACACATCATTTCTGTGGTATTCTTGGCAAAAATGCATTACTTTCATGCAATAATGAGAAGACATCAGACAAACTCCAATGAAGGGACACTATGCATATTAACTGGCTTATATATATTTTTTAAGTCAACATCATAAAAGACAGAGGTGGAGGAACTGTTCCAGATTGAAGGTGATGAAAGAGTCATGACAACTAAATGCAATATGTGATCCTGAACTAGAGATAACAATAGCTACTAGAAGGGGATGGCGGAGGAAGGGGAGGAGGAGGAGGAGGAGAAAGAAGAGAGGAGGGAAGAAGGAGGAGGAAGCCGCCTCAGCAGGGGGAGGGAAGGAGGCATCATTGGAACAATTGGCAAAATTTGAATAAGTTGTGTATATTAGATAATAGCATTGTATTAACGATGTTAAATTTCCTGATTATGATAATAGTAATGTAGTATTTCAGGGTTAAGAGGTGCCATATCAACGATTTACTCTCAAATGGTTCAGATAAGAAATTTGTGTTTCTAGAGAGACTATTTCCTCTCCACCACCTCTCTCTCTGTGTGTGCTA